GTTCCATTTCTGTGTCTACACGTTCTTCTGTATTTCTGATGATGTTTGTTTGCACGGTCTCTATTCTGTGTATGCAGCCTTGGGCCATCTTTATAAAACATAAAATGATGACAAGTACCTGTTGATGGTGACCACAAGGGTGCTTCTAATATTTACAATTTTATGTTGTCAAAGAAATAGAAAAAGGCGAAACAGTTGAGAGGTGATACAGAGAATTATAAATGATAAATCTCTTTAGTCAACATTTCTTGTTGACTGTGCATTGTCTCATGCAGTGCTGACTGAGTAATTGAGAGTTTGTTATGTAGTAATGATTATCAGGTTGTATTTCAATCTTCTTTTTTGTTCTTAACTAAAATGATTTCTATAATAATTGGTTGCAGAAACCCGTGATTTTGGTGATTTTACTGAGTTTTTATTCTGATGTCAAATAACTCTTTTCCAGGATTAAGCTGCATTTATCCTTGTGACTTAATTCCTTTCACAAGAAGACCCCTTTTCATAATCATCGACAGTGACAGTAGTGAAGCATTTAAGGCAAGTGGATCAAATCTTGTTCTTCATATGTAAGGCTACTTTTTTATTGAAGTCTTCACATATACACATAATAATTTAAATGATCTCTCAAAAAAATGATTTAGATGTAAGTGATGCAGGTCGAGTAGCGGTTGAACTAATTTATTGCGTAGGTAGTTTAGAAATAGAGAAAGTTTAGGTGAAAAGGAGAAGCATAAAGATAATCTAGAGGAAATTACAGATCAGGGCGAATAAATATATGGAGAAATGGACAAAACAAGATAGGTTAGACAGAACAACAATCAGAGGAACAAACATAGAGAAATATTAAGGAATAAAGCTCTAACAAAGAAATTCTTAATTCATCATTATACTTTCTATTTGTTGGTAGCTACTGACTTTTATATAAGTATCAATTACAACTAATAAGAAAAATTATAAAAGAATTCTAATTTTTTAAAGATAAAAGAAGAAATGTTATTAAGAGAGATAGTGAACAGAAATATTATTAAGAGAGATTATTACTTAAAAAAATTCCAGAGTCCTCCAGAAATGATGAAAAGAAAAGTGTTAATTACAAACAATTCTGTCATTAGTACAAAACAATTCCATAGAAAGGTATGTCTTGGTCCACCTCTACCATCTCCTTAGAGGCCATCGTTTTTTTTTTGAGATAAAAGTATAGAGAATATATTGATATGAAAGCGCCAAGGGGGCATCGCCCATGTACAAAAAATTTACAAGTCAATGAGTACCTAAAGTGTTTTTTTTTAGATAAAAGTATAGAGAATATGTTGATATGAAAGCGCCAAGGGGCCACCGCCTCATGTACAAAAAATTTACAAGTCAATGAATACATCTACAACTAATCCTAAATTGTAAAAATGGTTAAGATTATGTTCCAAAATGGTGGAACCAAAAAAGTGGAGCCATTTGTTCATAATATTTCCAAAAATCTCTTCCTTTCCTTCACAGGCTCTATTGTCTTTCCAAATTACTAGAAAGCAGTAACCGATATGAGTCTGAATTTCTTATTTCTCTTACACACCAATTCCCAAACAAATAGTTCTTCCTGAACTGATTCGGCCATTACCCAACAAATGCCAAGAAGACCTTAGACCATAGACCATAGCTTGTGAGTGATCGGGCACCAAAGCAAAAAATGGTTACTAGATTCAGCATTGTTTTTGCGTAGAAAACATCTGTTGGTTAGAGTAAAGCCTTTTTTCATAATTTTATCGATGGTCAAAATGCATTCCTTGGATGCTTCCCAAGCGAAGAAGGATACTTTGGTAGGAGCATTAGCCCTCCAAATCATTTTTGCAGGAAAAACCTTTTTCTCTATACTGTTATGCCCAACAAGATGATTATAGAAGGATTTGACCCTGAAGGATCCACTGCTTTCCAGCAGCCAAGTCAGTTTGTCATTGGTGTTGTTGAGCTGGATGGTGTCTAGTAATGCCAACAAATTCTCATATTCCTCAATTTCCCAATCATGCAAACTTCCATTGACCATGATGTTCCAACCGATGCCATCATTTTTTGTCGAAAGCTTCCTCAATAATCATATGTTTATCCTTGGAAAGGGCATAAATATGTGGAAACTGGGACTGCAGATTGGAATTTCTGCACCAGAGATCTGACGAGAACTTGATTTTGTTGCCTTTAACCACATTCCATCTTGAACACTCAAGAACAGAGCTGTTAATGTAGGAGATACCTTTCCATAAGCTCACACCGTACTTACTGCGCTCCAACAAAATCTGATTCTGTCTTCCATTCAGATTCCTCTTGCAATCTACAACTCTTTTCCACAAACTGTTATTGTCATTCCAGTATCTCAAAGCCCATTTACCGTGCAATGCCTTATTCAGCATTTTGAGGGATCTCAATCCAAGGTCACCAGAGTTGATGGGACTCTTGACCTCGTTCCAATGGTTTTTGCTGTCATTGTCCCCCCATAGGAATCTACATTGAATTCTCTCAAGTCTTTTGGCCACTTCTACCGGAATGGTAAGGATTGAAAGGAAGTATGTTGGAGGTTGGATAATGTGCTCTTGATAAGGGTCAATCTCCCCCCTAAAGTGTTAAACACTTGATTTTTTTAAGAAAAGATTTAAGCACATTGTTAAAGACAAACCGGCCATAATTTCACATTATAAGTGCCTTCCATGCAAGATTAGTTTGGTTGATGGTTTCATGAGACATTTCAATACCCAAAATTTGCTAGTTGATTGCATCTTAAGTGGTCCAAGGGATATTCTATTCTCATCTTTTTATTCTGTTTTATTAGCTTTTGAACATGCAAAGGAATACTAGCTTAGATGCTAATGACTTCGATATGAGAAGAAAATTTTCTTTTTCATTTTTTCAGAGGGTTTTCATTGCCCATGAAGACCAATATAATAATACAAAATACACTATGTTGGTAGCTATACTGATCAGATTGGTGGCTCAAAATAATTGGGAAATATATTAATGTGTGAAATGAAAATTAGATGAATTCCTGTAGTTGTTAAGTACTACTATGTTTTTCTTTTATGATATGCAGCATATGAGTGGTATGGCATCCTGGATTTTTTCACTTGGTGGAGCTTGAAAATTTTTAGCCCTTCAAATTGGTGTTTATTTTCCTCTTAAGATGCTTTTCATAAGTAATTAAAGTGTAGTACAGGAAGGACCAATGCTAGTTAGAGGAAATTTGTCGCCATGGCATAAGCTTAAACCTTTATGCATCTGAGCTTGTGGTTTGTATGCTGAAGTTTGGGCTAAAGGAAAACATCAAATTGGCTTTTAGCAAATCAAAGACAATGATTTTATTTTCACCTCAAATGTTCATCTGGATTATTTTTAAACTAGTTTGGAATACCTCTTCTTATGCTGAAGGGGTGTTGTACCAGTATTTTCTTTGAAGTAAATTGTACCATTATTTTTGTTCACATGTTTGATATTTGATGTATTTGGGGTATAACTTCAATTGAACTTCCTCAAAATTCGGGCCTCTAAAACTTCATGAGTAGCGAGTTATTTTGATTGGGAATTACCCCTAGTTGAAGGCATCTTTAGAAATGTAAAATTTACCATTGAAGTACTTGCTCTTCATTTCAGGTTTGGACCTGACCTTTATAGCTAGAAATTTTATATGAAAGATTATTATGGACTTAATATGTGCAGAGTATAAGTGGAGCTGAGAAGGGAGAGCCAGCTGGATTGCTTTTGTCTCCGAGCATTTCAGTTCCCATTTCTGCTGTTGATTCCTCTCGTCAACCCAGTGCCAGTGGCAGCCTTTTCACCATTTTTCTCACAGCTCCGCTGCAGGCATTTTGTTTGTTGCTTGGTATTTTTGGCTCTGATGTTGAAATGGTGTGTAAGAGTCAAATTATGTCCCTTCAGGTTTTGGGGTTTTACTTTTTTATTTTGTTTACTAATGGTGGCAAATGCTTAGGATACTTATAACAAGGCTGAGAAGTTGCTTTCTTCATCATTAAATGAGTGGGGATCAACTTTGGCCACATCAGACACTCTTGATCCAGTTTGGGCACAGATATTAAGAGATCCATTCCTGAGGCGACTTCTCTTGAGGTAACTTTTAGCCTTTCTCCTTTTCAGTTAGGTTTAGATTGTTTCGGTTGTGGGGCAGTAAAATTTCCAGAATGATGTAAGTTTGACTGAATAAATGCATTAATGGTCAGTAGTCTTAAGAGTATGAGAACAAATGCATGCACAACTTGCAAGGTGAACCTTCAATTTGGTCGTTTCCCGAAATCCATGTGTATATGGTGTCTTTTTTTTCTTTTTTACTTTTTTTAATTTAAAAAAAGAAATTTATTAAAGAAAAGTAGAATATACCAAAAGACAAGAGGATAAGATATCCCACAACCAAAAATTAAAGAAACAAGAAATGCAACAAATAATGTGAAAAGCCTTAATACAATTTTTTTTTTTTTTGATAGAAAAAGAAGTTCTATTAAAATGAGGGAAAATAATTACAAAGAAGAGAATAAGACATCCTCCGTATCTTGTCAATCTATAAAGCCTTAATGCAAGATATAGATCCAATCCCTATGCAAAATAGATAACGGCATTCCATTAAAGAAACCCTTGAGCTTTTTCTGCATAAAGGCATTCTGCAAAATAAATAATAACAAAGCATGCCTGATAATACAAAGTTCTGGTTGTTGTTTGTTTTGGTTTCTGTGGTGATGCAGATTCCTGTTTTGCCGGGCTGTGTTAACACTATATTACCCGACCTTTAACAAGAAAGAATTTCATCCAGAGTGCTTGCCTAGTCTCCCAGAGTCTGTTCTACCAATAGCTGTTGCATCTCAAACTGTTGTTTTCCGGATAGCCAACGTTTTCGGTGTAGCTGACAGGTTTGTGTTCTCAGAAAGAAATGATCTGCTTCAAAATACATGTAGTGACATAGAGACAAGTTCATCTTCATGAAGCATGACCTAATAAATTTTTTTTTTGCTTCTAAATTTGGGCTGTTATCCATTTTAATGTGTGAGCCTCAGTTACCTGGACTTGTGATTGATTAGTCAATCTTAGTTCAGTTGGTTTGGTTTACCTAAGAATGTATGAGGACAGTGATATCGCACTTCGTTTTCCCAAGTTTGTGTCTTATTGTTAAGTGAAGTCTTTCAGCTTGATGGCCTTGCATTTTTTAAATTGAGAAAATTCTAGTAGTGTGATTGTACACTTGATCCCTCTTCGTAAATTACTTTAGCTATATTTGTAAAAGGGCTTATTTGGAATGCTCTTCAGTGTTTGTATCAAAATAAAACCCTTGGACTTGTATTTTTATTAAATTGTACCATACACTACATATGCACTTTGCATTATTAAATTTAGTACACTTTCCTTGGACCATGTTCTATTAATTTTAATAGCGAAGCTGTTGATTTTTCTCTTCTAATTTGGAAAAAAGAAACTAATTTTTTTCCAATCTTCCTACCAGGCACCATTAGGCACCCAAAATGCTAGATTCTTCTTTTAGACCTTGCTCTCTGATCTCCAGCATTGTGTCACTGAGTATCTATTTTCATTTTCTTTTTACTCCACTTGGAGAAATCTTCTTTCGGCCCAATTCAGCATTCATTACCTTCGTTACAACACTTCATTCTTCCTCTCTGCCTCTTTGTGTGCTCATCCTCGAACGAAGTCCAAGTTTTCATTCTTAATTTACCTATTCCGTGCTGCTCCCCATCCTAAAAACCACGCAATTACAAAATCACTATAGTTGGCACCCCCACTCATCTTCGCATTTTGAACAAACACGAAATATTCAGTTATAGTAGACACAATCACTGCTTCCCATTCTCATTACCACAAGTCTCTCTTCTCTCCCGTTCCTCGGTTTGTTCCTCGTTCTTTGATTTCGCACTACATAAGAACCTGAAATTGCATGTGCTTGTCACTGAGAAACAATCATCATCCGCTACATTCTTGTTAGAAAAAAAGACATTATGAGTGAGAACGAGATAGCTGTAATATCTGGAGTCAGTGACATATCTGGGTGTTGTGATAGTATTACTGGATATTTAAAGCGGTTGCCATTGATGAGGCCAAATAAGCAAAAGACCTTCTCAACCCTCAGTTTTAACCCCACAAGAGGATTGTGTGTGTTTCCATTCTCAAAATAATTTAGAAAATGCTTTCAAAATGTTTTTATTGAATACCAGCATGCCTCTAACAAAACCAAGAAAATATTATTAAAAAAAAATTACATTCATTAAGTTGAGAAAAGCGCAGGGAAGAAGAGTTTACAGGTAGTAGATAGGGCCACAAGATCCTGAGTACATGACATTAAATTGATATGTTCTTAAAAAAAAAACTTACGAATTTTTAACAAAATTTATACCAAAAAAAAACATGACTAGTTGGGATATTCTAGAATCAATACTATTTTAATAAGTTAAGTTCCTTAATTTGATTAAAAAAAAAAATGAAAAATTCTTAAATTTTTTTTAATAATTTAGTATTTCACTTTTTAATTTTAACAAAATTTAAAATTTTAGTTTTACTGAAAAACCATTTTTTAAAAAAATTGAAATTTACAAAAATAAAATAAAATATTAGTATTGTTAATTTTTATTTTTTTTAAATTTTAATAATGGAAATAACATGTTGATAAATTTTTTTAAATTAGTAATCATATCTATATAAAAATTGAATACATTTATACACTTATATAATATAGTTTAGTTAATTTTTTCAAAAAGAAAATAATTACATCAAGCTAGTTTTTATTCAAAATATATTTTTAATTTTTTTTTTTTTAAATTCTAGAAAGAAAACTTAAGATTTCAAAAATTTCAGCAAAAAATGAGATTACCAATTGGGTTCAGTTTTTCAGTTTGGAAAAAAATGTTGGTATTGGTTTTCCAAATAAACGGTTCAGATTTGCTGTGATAAATCCGACGGTTAACATTATACCGCATCGGAGTTTCATTTCTTCTTAACTAACTCGAGTGAGTTGGTTCATCATTCCATAATTCGGGTAACCCGTAAGGCGGCACCACAGTTTCAACTCGGATTCGTCACTCGTTACTGAGTTCCAAATTCTGATTCTCAGAATCATGGTTCAATACAGACTTCCTCAAAAATTTTCCTTCGTTATTGGTCTCGTGTTTTTATCTTCCTTACTATTTGCCCCCGCCGTACTTGCCAAATCTCGTCGGCCCATCTCCGTAAGTAGGTTTTCTCAGCTATTTGTATCTGTACATGTATATATGGGCGCATAGATGTTGTATAGGTGGTGGTTTATATTGTTGTGTATGTTTTCTATTAAATATATTCTTTACTGGGATTATCCTGTAAAATGCAGGACATAGAGATCAGGGAGAAGAAGGGCGAGTGTTATGCTGATATCGAGAAGTAAGACATTAAAATTTTTGTTTGTTTCTTGCTTTTTTTTAATAGGAAGTGATGAGATTGTGATTTTCTTCATTCCTTGTTCATGAATTAAATCTATAAAAGAGGGGGTGTTGTCTTCTTGTTTGAAATGCAGCGGGATATATTACTATTCAAGGTTGCTTTATTTCTCTTTGGAGGGCTTGGTTCTAATTAGGCTTGAGTTTGTTACGAGGACAATTCAAGTTTCTTTACGATCTTCAAAATGAGCTCTAATTAAGCTAACACGTTTTTGCACAAGCTACGACAATTTGAGCTAACAAAGGAAGCTCACTTGTGCTTGAGAAGCTTGTTTTACAAAGGAGCTTCGAAATCTTGTTGAATTTTCATTTAAAAAAACTCTTGGTGGAACTTGTTTGCTTACTAAGTCAGTGAAGATATTGAAGTAGTGTTGAAGCTGCTTGATAAGCATATTGGTTTGTTCATTGTCCTAGACATGAGTCAATAAGGATAGCGTTAATGCTTGAGAAAATAGCATCTTCAAGATTCAAGAACTATCTCTGCGGGCACTGGTGATTTGTCTATTATGCTCAAGGGTAGCTATTATTCCTTAGTCAAATTTGCCTTAACTGAAAACTCAGAGCAGCTTCAATTAGACTTTCTTTGTCTGTCTTATTTCTTTAAACAAGCCTAAAGCTCATGAGAGAGAGGCATCATTTGACATTGTACTTGCAAATGATGAGAAATAAGATTTCATAACTCCTCCAAGAGGACCCTAGGGTGAGCAATCTTGAATCTATTCATATAGGAAAAAATCCTTTGGAGGAATGGAGTAATTTTCTTAACTCTTCCATTAAGAGTTCAAACAGAGTACTGATCTGCAAATGAAAGACTTGTTGCTCCTATACCATCCGACAACACACACATAAAAGCATTTGCCGGAATCAATATTCATTTTCAGCTGGTACATGGAAAGCCTCAGATTTCGAAGCAATCTGATCACCTTTACATTCTTATAGGTACAGTTTCTATTTAATTAGCAGTGTCTTGTACATATCTGAAAATCCCATCCTAGCACATCGAATTCCATTCATCATAGTGCCTTCCTTTGGGAAGCAGGGATTGGCAAGTCCTTGATGCTTCCTTTATTACAAATGAAGTAGTGGTGGACGTCCAAAGATCCAAAGGTAAGGGGATCATCTTAAAATTGGTCTTTGAAAAGCTTTACAATAGTGTCTATTGGAATTTTTTGGACAAAGTATTTATGAGGAAAGGTTTTGGTGATAGATGCTGGAGGTAGATTAGAGGGTGCTTGTCCTTGGTGTTTTTTTCAGTCACTTGCAATGGTGAGCCCAAATTCTGGTTTGCAGTCATTGGGGGATGATGCAGGGGACCCTTTCTTCCTGTTTCTTTTCACGATTGTGGTAGATATTATAAGTCCATGATGATCTTGGGTTGTGATAGGAATTTGGCAATAAGCACCTGTGTATAGGGAAGAAAGTGTTGAGATTTCTCATCTATAGTTTGCAGATAATAGTATTCTGTTCTTTCAGATGATAACTGAGGACCAAGTAGTCAATAGTTTGTTCAATTTATGTCAGGTTTTGTGAGCATATCTGGGTTACAATGGCCTTATGGGGATTGATGTAGATGATAATGCCAGTAGAAGGGTTGTTGAGTTGGTTGGCTATTGTGTGTTGTGTTGGCCTATTAACAATTAAAGTGTTTCCATCAACCACTTATTTAGGTGTTTCTGTAGGGGATAACCCTTGATTTCAATCTTTGTAGATATTGTCGCGAGTTGATTCTAAGTGGCTTGATTATTGGAAAGGCGGGTTATTTTCTTTGAGAGGCAGAATTACTCTTAACCAGGCTCATTTCTTTATTATTATCTTTTATACCTCTCTTTACTTAAGATCCCTAGGAGGGTGAATGATAAAATTGACAGGATCATGGAGAAGCTTTTATGGCCTTTGGCAGTGAGTCTCAAGAGATCATTTGGTTAGATGAGATGTGTGTTGTCTTTCTAAAAAATTTGGTAGTATCTGTATTGATCCAATGAAAAACAACCTGTCTCTATTAGCTAAATGTTTATGGCATTATCTTTTGGATTCTTAATTTTTGTCGCACAAGGTGATCAAGAGTAAGTATTGGTAATAAAGGAATAGGTGGAATTCTAAATCTAGGAGTACCATGACTGACAAGAGATCTTGGAAAGCCATCTCTCAGTAAGATATTTTCATTACTCTTACCTATTTGAGAGCTGGTTATGGCTCCCACATTTTGTTCCAAGAAGATATATGGATCGGCAGTCCCCCTCTTGCTAGTCTTTCCTCACATTTAATAACATTTTCTTGTACTATAATTCTCCTATTTGTGTCCTCATCAGTCAACTTCGTAGATATGTCTTTGTGATTTCTTCTTCTTCATTAATCAAAATGATAGAGTCAATTTATATGCTTTCTTTGCTTAACATCCTTGAACTTTTTATCATCTTCCACAATAGCAGAATTTGGATCGTGGATTCTTTGAGCATGTACACTTGCAATTCCTATGCACCCATCTTATCCATAATTCTAGTTGCCAACATCACTAATAGATTTTAGAAGGCTAAAGCTCTCTCTAAAATTAAAAGTTCTTGTCTCTAATTGTTGCTCCAAGCAGATTCAACACAAATGTTCTGTTGCAACTTCACAGTCCCCAGTTATGCCCTTCCTCAAATTTATTTTATGTGTTCGAGGGAGGCTGAGTCCCATTGCCATCTCTTTTTGCAGTATGAGGTAGTTGGGAAACTGTGGTCCAGGCTTCTACTTTTGACATCCTGTGGATTGCCCCCCTTGTGTTTCCTCTCTATGTCCCCTGAGGAGTTGGGGCGAAGAGGAAGGTAGATAGATAGTTTGGAGCTTTACTGGCTTATGGTGTTGTTGGAGCTCAATGCTAGATTATTCAAGGATTGTTACTTGTCTCCTCCTTTTAATTTTCATTCGGCCATGTCATAAAGAGACTGGAATTTGTATTTTGTGATTTCATGTGCTTCTTTCTTTTCTCTTCCTTTTGTTCTTTTAGGAGGATCTCCTGTGCCTGCTTTTGTACATTTTTATTCTTGGTCAACTAGTATTTCTTTTTCATAAAAAATAGAATTGCACCCTAACATTGTCTTAAAAATTAAATTGTATGCAAAACATTGTGTTTCTTAAGTGCCTTCAATATTGTTTTCTTTTTGAACATTATATGCACTTTTTTCATTTTTCTTTTCAATTTTGGAATATGAGAAGAAAAGATAGTTCTCAGAAGCACATGTATTGTTTTTTTTTTCTTTTAATTATAAGCTGTCTAATTTCATGGTTAATGGTTGTATGCTCCTTTCGGCAAGAAAAAGAATAAGCCTGCACAGTTTATCTAGTTTTATTTTTTTTGGATAGTATATTATTTTGCATCTAACAATAAAATATGCTTAATGCAGGAGATTTCCAAAAGAAAGTAGTATATATAGAAAAGTTTGTTTGTTAATAAACAATTGTGTATGGAAATCAGATTTTATTCTTTTGTTTCACTTTTCAATTTTTTGTTCTTTTTTTGTTCCAATGTTGGAATTAGTGGACTGTGGGGTCGGCAATGCAAGGAATCAACAATAGCAAAAGAGAATTGTGCCCTGCGATGTCTTTCTCCAGCTTGCTATGAACTCATTTATGGGGGTGATCCGGTGAGAATATATGGGATTAACTCCTATTATAGATCTGACAAAATTTCTCCCTTTCTGATTCCAAAATATTTACATTTGATTCTTGGTGTAGCTTGAAGAAGGAGAAAAAGATTTTGTGAGGGGCCAAGAATTCAAATATTGCATGTACAAGTAAGTTCAACTCTTTCAGTAATGTGATTCCTCAAAAGAAATCAAAAGCTTTTTCGGTAATGTGGTATTTAGATTCTTGACATTTAGAATCATGCTTGGCTAAGTTTTTCATTATGTCATTATGTCTTTACTATCATACAACTGAACTTTAAAACGGTTTATAAATCCTTCAAGTACCTGAAGAGCATCCATGCTAGTTTATCCATAGTGTAAAATGTTTGGTTGAAAACTGGGATTTTTTACCCTGTTTTTACGGATTAGTTATTGAGATTTAGTTTGATCTCTTTTCTAGAATAAATAGAAACAGTATTATCTTACCTCTTCCTTATTTTTCCAATTCTATATTCCTTAATTTATGGAAGATATTCTTCTCTTACTTGCTATTACATGTGTTCAATTCAGCCAAAAAAGCAGTAAGAGTTAATGAAAAATTCATTCTCAAACTTTATATTTTTTGATGAGAGGAACAAAGATATTGAGGGAAATCTAGTTGCTTTATTTTTCTTCTCTTCTCTGCCCTTGCTTTTGTTGCTCTCTTCTTTTAGGATGTTCAGGAAGCTAGATCTCTGAAGACCCTCCATAAATTTGGTTAACTATTTAACTGAGGGTTTTCTGTTAACATAAGCCATAGGAAAAAAATTGTGAAGCTACAGTCCTAGTTAACAACGACAAGGATCGGATTGTATGGAAATTGAATAAGAAGGGAAGTTTCACTGTTTGGTCCTACTACAAGCATTTGGTGAGAAGAGAGCGGGAAGAGGTCTCAAATTTTCCAGCTGGTCAGATTTGGAGGATTAATGCACCTCCTAGGGTTCCGTTTTTTGCTTCGGAGGCTTGCCGTGAATGCATTCTTACTATTAATTAGTGAATGGTTAGAGGAAAGATTGTGGTTAATGGTTGTTATTTATGCAAGAAAGCTGCGAAATCTTGTTATCATATTTTCTTTTGATGTCCAACGGCTTATGAATTGTGGAAGATGATCTACGGGCTGTTAGGCATTGAGTGGGTGATTGCGGGATCAGTGAAGGAGGAGATTTGGGCGTGGGAAGGTTTATGTAAAGAAAGAAAATTTGTAAAACGAATACCTCTTACTATTATGTGGGTGATTTGGAAAGAGAGGAACAATAGGGTTTAAAGGGTGTTTGGGATTAAGATGTACAAGATCAAGGATAGGTGGTTTCATTTTTTTGGATCCTTGATGTTGGGGCATGATATATATAGGGTGGAAGATTTTGGAAATATTATAGATATATTAACTAATCTGTAAATTTTATATATGGTTGGTACCCCCTTGGTATCGTTGTGAATAATACTTTTCTTACTTTTTTATTTTAAAAAAAAATATATATGAATCGTTGTAAGGTAAAAATTGGAGTGGATATTTGTGAGCAAATGTAATGAAGGCCATTGATTCTTCCGCCCTTAGGGGGATGTTGTTTGATTTTCTGTTGCTTTGGGTGAGAGCACTGTTTCTAATGTAAATGCATATTTCAGTATTTTCACCTGATAGGCAAGTGCTTGTTAAGATAACAATTAAATACTTATGAGATTGTTATGATGAATAATATCTGTACACTATCAACTGTGAGGTAATAGATAAGAAAAATTTATTCCATGTTGTTGGTCAGAATGGTGATATGGAATACAAGGAAATGAACAATCTTGTGAAGTATATAATCATATGCAATTAGAGATGATACTGCAATCTCATCCCGAACCCGTATGTAGTACTTCATGGACCCACTGTTGGACCAGGCTTGTATAGGTCATCTTGTAGAAGTGGGTCATGTGTGCTTTATGCTTGTCATATAGGGTTGTGAATATATTGGGTTTCTGTAGGGTTAAGCATTCATATTATGTACTTTTGAATCTTTGCAATTATGTAAAGTTGACTACTTTGACTTCATGTAGCTCTCGTTGATGGTGTTCAGATATTGAAATAAGATGAGTGCCCGATGCTTCAATATGGGAGTTGAATCTTTTCTGTTACCTAGTTTATTGATTAAGTTCATTTGTATTCATTCTCTGCAGGCTGTCTTTAGGAGAGAGCCTAGAGGGTGTCAAGGGTTCTTTTGACTAATAAGAACCTGGGCAAGGCAATCCTATGCTCCTAGTCTGAGTAATGTATTACTCTGTCTCATAACCTTTTGTTGAGCAGAAAATTGAGGGCATAATAAAATCTAAAAAATATGAGTTTACATTGTGCATGTTAGTAGCAGTAGAACAAACTGTTTTCAATATTATCTGTTATTTTTATTTTTGGTAAAAGAGATACTGTATTTTGTATAGAGAATACGTTTGGTACATAAATTTTTTTTAACTTTTTCTTTTCCAATACTATGTTTGGATATGCATTAGTAAGTGAATAGAGAGAAAAGGGCATTAATAAGTGAATAGAGAGGAAAGGGAAGGAAAGAAAAGAAGTGGTTTTTGAATGAAGGGAAGAAAATATGTTTTTTCTCTGTTTGGATACCTAAGAAAGTAGGAGGGAAGAAATTGATATTAGCAATATGTTGTAGCTTTATAAAAAAATTTAATATTTTTCTTTAAAATTCTTAATCCTTTTCTTTTCCATTCCTCTTTCTTCGGTTTGGAGAAATATAAGAACTAGATTTTTAAGAGACAAGAAGAGATGCTTATCATCCAATCCTTTATAAGTATTATTTTTGGTCCAAAGAAGAGAAATGACTGTGATCATCCCTTCTTTTTTTTTTTTTTTCTTTTCTTTCTTCTTACTTCCCTCAATTCAGTAGTAAATTATGTAAAAGATGTGTCTTTGGAATAATGAAACATAGAATTTATGTTCTTAGAGCCTGAGTCTTCTATCTTATTTCTCTTATCTACATAGGAGTTCTTCTTGACATTCACCGTGTCCGCTACCTGGTTTAACTTCAGACTGAATTATGAGCCAGTTTAGCCACTTAACCAAAAGTTGTTAAAGAGGGTTAGCTAGCTCTAGCCTTGGCTAGGTAAGGCTATATCTTCCTTCATTATTCCAATTTAGATGTGATTCAATTTTTGTCATCATTGTTGATAAAATAACAATTAATATTATTGTATGTACAATATCTATACATTGTAAACCTATTTATGATAGGTTCTGAGGATACAAATAAAAAGATTATACACACAAGAAATGCACAGAATTCTATGATCATAGTTAACGACATGAATCGTGCCAATAGTTATTACTAGTTGTAAATCGATTTACATTTTTTTTTTTTTTATCTCAAACGTCTATTATAATTCGTGTTAATTTATATTCAAACTTACTGTCAAAGTTATTCTAAATTTTGTTACATGAGTGAAATCTATATTAGTCGCACCCGAATTGACTCTTATCACATTCAATATCAATAAGTAGTTTTCTAATTCGTTTGGGTTTGAACTTGGTGACTTCCTTGAGATTGGGTATACTAGAATCTTGTTTATATTGACTGTATAGATGAATTATGGCCATGTTGAAACTTGTTCTCTGAGTGATCTTCCCTTAAAACTTGTAAATACTTTGTGAAAATTGAATTTAAGAATTTTTACTTAGCCATGATCTTCTATATTGTGCATATTAATGTTTATGAATCAAAAAGTTGGAAACCTTGTACTCAGTCTAATTATAACTTATAAGCCACTGGTAAGCTTGAATATGTTGTGAATTCACGTGGTTCTATGGGGTAAGAGTTTGCATATTGATTTACTAGTTATTAGTAAACCACAGTTGATGAAAGGTGTAAGGATGAACATATATGTATGTCTTTTTACCTAAAACACCTGAGCGTGCATATGGGTTGTACTACCATGTCATAATCAATTCAAAGGAAAAATATAATTATATGTTTACGATGTACTGAAAAGTTTTTTTTTTTTTTTTAAATCTTAACCAGATGAAATAAGACTTTTTTTGTGTGGCTAATCTGTTTTAATTTAAAAACTAATTAAATAATTAACAACAATAACAATAAATCTATAAATTAATTCAGAAGGAAGCAATTATCCAATGAAGAAAACAAAAGGGTATAATAATTTTTTCTCTATCTTTTTATTTCGAGTAATAAAATAAAAAGACGCTAATTATCGAACATGACATTTAAGTAATATGTTTTTATTTTTTGTTTAACTCAAACTCGTAATTTTAAATAAAATGTTGGAATTTTAAATATCGGATAATCGTACTAGTAGTTAAAATAAAGTAATTAAAATTACAAGTTTAAATTATGAATAAGTAACCAATAAGGTAGCAAGATCTAAACTCTATATTAATATTATTATTTTAATATTTATTATTAGTTTTAGAATATATCAAAATTAATCAAATATAATATAATATTACTTTATTTTAAAATTATTTTTAAAATAAAATTTAGTAATGACTGTGTGTTTTTTTATTTAAAAGTATTTTTAAAACACACCGCTTTTTTATCTTGAAACAAAAAAGTCTCTCCCTTGTTGGAAGCACGAATCCGGAACCATGGCAGCCCCCTCGTCCTCCGACGGCGCAAACTCTAAAATCAATCTCGTTAAACAGGTTTCCTCTCTCTCTCTCTCTCTCTCTCTCTCTCTCTCTCTCTCTCGTCTGTTTATGGTTATTTATTAGCGTGTGCGGCCGCAATCAGGTAAGAAGACACGAGGTTGCCATAGCAGAGCTTAACAGTCTCTCGTCATCTCGAGTATGCTCTTTCTCCTCAGTTTTTTCTCTTTAGTACTTCAGTTTGCTTAGAAGCCATTCCGTTTATTGATTTTTTTTTTACGTCTGCTTGATTACCAGTTAATTTGGTGGTTTTTGTGTGATCTGATATCCACTGATAGTATTGCTGAATCCACAATTGTTGTGAACTACTGCCTACGTATTTAATGGAGTTGTAATTACGTTCTGGTCAACGAATTTGTTATTTCACACTATGTTTGCAACAAATTAAGTGGATTCTGAAAAGAACAAAAGGAAGATAATCTAATTTAAAATCAAGGATTTCATGTTTGAAATTGTTCAAACAATTCCATGTCAAAAGAGACATAATGAAATCCTCTGGTTGATTCTTCGTCTAGAATGTTCTGTACATGTTTCCAATCTTACCAAATTCCAAATTGGGAAAAAAAGAAGAAGAAAAGAACTAGAATTTGTTGGGAATTTTTCGTCTAGAATTTGTTCTGTACATGTTTCCAAATTCCAAATCCAAATATTTGTTTGAAGTGTGAAAATATCAAGCTTTCCGCCATGTTTGCTTCTTTGGTTGTCCATAGGGCTTCCTCAACCTTAAACACTAAGCAACGTAGTCCTGTGGAAAGGAAAACTGGTCAGGCCCCGTTTGCACCCGATTAAAGCATTTCTGGAACAGATACCGCCTTGAAATTGGTTCCAATAAAAGCGTTCTCGAATTTGCTGAGTCATCAAAGAAGCTGGTTTTTCATTTAAAAAGAAAAAAGAAGCTTGATTTAAATTAAATGTTGGATTACTCCCTTCAAGTAAACTTTTCTGTATTATCATTGCCAGCTGTGGCTTCATCATGGCTTCCTATGAAGCTTGTTCTCTATGTTCTAGCTATTGCACATGTTTTATTTATGGAAGATAAATCACCTACTGGTGTTGTTTTATGTAGGATTATTGTTTGTGCCATGGTATGGTTGTTTTATGTGCAGAAAATGGATTTAACATTCTATACAATTGGACTGTCCAACCCAAGCACAAAGAGACTTAGTGTTTGTATCACTTGTATTACATCTGCAATATGTATGATATATTGACAGTCCAAGTTAAAAATGGTGCACTGGCTCTGTTGATATGCATGTACTATCTGGCCTTTCCTGTCTTACTAAAAAAAATAGATGCTTAACACAAAATTCCCTATTTATGCACCCAAAGGAGAAAAAGCAAAGAAAGAATTTGGAAATTGAAACATAAGTCTTCTCCTTTATAAACAGCTTGTTAATTCTTGATAATGT